AACAAGGTAAGTGTAGAGGCCATGCGGTCGTTCATTCAGTCCGTAATGGCCGATATCGAATCAGGCATACTTCTATCACACCTATAGGACCTCGCTCATTTGGTCAAAAACTGAGGTTTGATACTTTGAAAATATCGAAGCATACATGACACTGAAAGAATTAACACTCCAGAAACTCCCATCGCCTGGGGTGCAACTCTTACCGCAACTTGAATAAAAGCTAAGAATACGAGACAGATAAAGAGCCCATTAGCAAGAATCCAAAAGTGAATGTATGTCCTCACTTTCTTACCATTCGAATTGGGTAGATTAATTAGTCGACTACTAAGAGTACTTACAAGTAACGTAGAGCAACAAGATGGTCGGCAGAATGATGAGGGCATCTAACTGCCTATGAATATCCATTTTGAGACCCATCCCTTTAATTTTAAGAGCAACAGACTACTGCCATACCGTATTTTGTAGTTCACATTAGTCTTTTGGCTGGTTTTTGTCGGAAGAATCATTGATAATAGACTACGATTCTTCAACTAGCCAGATTTGTTGATGACTAGTACTGCATGTGGATGTAATTTTGGAAGACCGTTTCGCGTTGTCGGGTTTTTTTCAGATAAAAAATATGATGGCGAAATAGGAAATCAAATTAGCTTGCAACAGTATTGACTCACTGTAGTGATAAATTACTGTGTATTGACTTGGGGGTGAGCACACAGCCAGGAGTAACTCATTCGAAATGTTACTCATTCACCTTCCAGTCCTGATTTCAAGACTGCCCCACCTCTTCGTTGCCGAGCTGTACCATTTGTCAGTTATCTTTCATAATCTCCATTCATTTTCCATTTTTATTATAGGTATTCTCATGGTGGTCTCCCTCTCGCCACCTGATTACACAGACGACCTAGTCGCAGGAGAATTTTCGTTATACCTAGAATATGCAGATGACATAGTCCTGTTAGGTGAAAACGCTGACAAGATACAGTCTTCCGGACACTTTGAGTAGCAGTTTGAGAGTGTTTGGCATGCATTTCTCTCGACCTGAATGCAAATTATTGCCCCAGGACCGGTCGTCAACGGTGCCCAGGTTAACAAAGAGAGAGATGATGGGTTGAGTGCGTTGAACGCCTCACCCACTTTGTAGGTGGGGTCAGCCCTGGTGGGTCAGTGGCCGACGAAACTTCCACACGGATACAAAGGCTCGGTTTGCTTTTGCCAACTTAAGGCATCTGTGGTTCCATTGGAACTCGCCAGTCATTTGAAACCCTCACATCCAAACTTGTACCACTAGTTAATCCAGAGACATCTCACGTTACGAGAAGCACCTCCAAGCGTCTCTACAGCAACGTGAGACGACTCCGAAGTAAAATGCTAGAGCTCCGATCCCTGTGTCTCTAACTCGTCCCGAAGATCATGATCGTGACAGAAACATAGTTGTCACCAGGCACAAGTGACACCAAAGTTAACATAGACGATATGATTCTGTTCAGGAGAGACAGAGAACATAAGGACGGAGGGAGGGGGTTGCGATATACATGAACAGTTGGTCCAGAAGAGAACGAGCCACTGACATGGTACTGACAGAGCTCCCAGACTCTATCTGGTGCCACTTCAAGGTCAGACGCACCAAATTCCTGGTTGGAGGAGTCTATAGGTCCCCTAATAGCAACTTGGAACAGCCGAAAACTACTCCAAGCAGTATTCACAGCGTAAACCTCAGGGTACGACCCCCCCAGCCTAGAGCAAGGTTGCACGACCCCGAGTCGGAAGCTTGACTGTAACCTGCTAAATGTCATCCAAATGGCTGGACTGCGGGAAGAAATCAGCGACAATACCCACTGGGGTCAGATGGTAGACCGTCTAAACTGGATTACCTACTGACTAGTGATCACCTGGTTGAAAACGTTCAGGTACAAACTCCTCTTGGAAGCTGCGATCACCCTGTGGTAGTGTTCGACCTGGTAATCAGTGAAAAATTGTCATGGGGGGACTGGCCCTCACCTCTGTTACAACATGGCAAACTACGAAGGTATGAACAAAAGCCTGTCAAGAGCTCCGTGGCCAGCGGATTGGTGTTCCCTATCGATCGACCAGCACTGGGAACTGGTAAAAGATATCATTAAGACAGCTATCTCACAAAACGTCCCCTGGGGGTAAAAACGGCCAGAAAGCGAACCTCACGGCTAAAACAGGGCACTGAGCGCCTTCTAAAAGCCAAGAGAAGGGTACGGCACACATGGAGACTCTCCGGAGAGCAGGACGACCATGACGCATACATGACTCTGTGGGATCGAAGCAATACCAGGGTGTGGGGGGACAGGAAGTCGTTCCAGTCCAACCTTGCCAAGAGGTTTGAAGTGAACACCAAAAACCCGCACCGATTCGTGGCAAAGAGAAAATCGACAAGCCAAGGAGCATATGTCATAAACGACCCGAACGGAGGGAACCTCACTGGACAAGAGATCGGCAAAACGCTGAGCTTCACGTTTGACACACAGCTCAACATTCTACCTGGAAAGTACACATACCAACTGCACGAACAGCCCCCGACGTTACCCGGTGCTGTGGAGTTACACGAAATACAGATAACTCGCACCGTTGTTCTCTACAAGCTATCAAAGCTAAGTGCGGGAAAATCCCCAGGATGCGACGACATCCGCCCATCTGTGTTAAAAGAATGTGCAAGCACCCTAAGTGGCCCACTCTGCAATCTTTTTCAGCACTCCTTAGACGAACAAAAGCTCCCACTAGAGTGGAAACGGGCTATCCTTCCTCCCATCTTCAAAAGGGAGACAGAATCCCAACTGTTATAGACCCATAGCACTTCTGCCAGTAATATCAAAAGTTATGGAAAGTGTGATGGACTACCGTATCAGGGGATATCTGGACAAAAATAAGCACTCAGAGCCGCTCAATATGGGTTCCGGAGTTGCAGATCCCTTACCTCTAACCTCCTGACTGCCCGTGATCCTGGACAGCATGCTGGGATCTCAAGGTCCCGGTCCACACAATTTTTCTGGACTTTGCCAAAGCCCTTGACACTGTCTCGCACACAATCCTAATACACAAGATAGCTGGGTTAGGCATACGCAGCCAGGTGCTATCGTGGCTGCAGAACTACTTAGACAGTAAGGAGTTCTGCATGAAAGTCAACAGGGTCTACTCAACTTGGATAACATCCTAATCCGGTGTCTCACAAGGAGCAATCCTGGGTCCACTGCTGTTCCGTCTGTTCGTGAATGACCTGTAGCAACAGATCAGCTCTCCGATTCCCCTATACGTCAAGTTATGGAGGGCAATAGCTTGCGAAGCAGAATCTATAGCATTACAGAACGACCTCAAAACACCGGGAGAATGGGAACTAATAGCGAACTGGCATTCAACCTGGATAAGCGCCTTTCCATGTGTTTCCGCACTCCTGATCCCCAGAAAGTATCCTACTATCTCTGTGGTTCACATCTATCCCGTACCACGGTAGAAAAAGAACTGAGTTTAACGGTGATGGAGAAACTTGACACCAGTTCCAATTACCCAGGTGATGCCTCAAAAGCATATAGTGTACTACACTTTGTGCGTAGACAACTGGGTGTCCTCACCCCATAACTCTTTCTGAAGCTCTACAAGACTTACGTACGGCCCCACTTAGAGGTCCATAACGTCTTCGCTCCACCATAGCTGAAAAGAGGCACTAACATACTGGAGAAAGTCCAAAAGCGAGTCACAAAAGGGGTTGTTGGGATTCAACGAAAACCATATGAGGATAGACTGAAAGACCTAGGCCTATACTCTCTTGCTACCGAGGGTTACGAGGTGACTTCATAGTGGCCTACAGGATACTGAATAACCCAAGCCACCCGAACAGAGGGATTCTACCGAGTGGCCACTATGCAGATCCATGGGGAAGCCCTAAGAGAACAGCCCACCAAAGGTCAAAAACACATGTGCGTTCACAGTTCTTCTCCCTCCGAGTCTGCTGGTACTGGAACTCACTACCAGCCAAGGTGATCTCTGCCCCAACTGTTGAAAGCTTCAAGAAGAGGCTGGACAGTCACGCGGAGACCCACGGCCTACCCACATGTAGCTGGAACGTGAACTGATGTCAAGCCACCCCGACCACGTTTCTTTCTATTGTAACCATTTAAGCCCTTTTCATCCCTACAACTTGCCATGAGTTACCCTCACTTACCTGAGTTTTTCATACCTTCGCACCCATCCTCGTCTTACTTGGGTGTAAGTAGATTACTCCATTAGTTCACTTTTCTTCTGTTTTAATCACACAAACACCTCCTAGGTTTGCTCTTCACCATCCCTAACCCTCTGTAGCGACCAGTCTGAACAACTTTCTGATAACTCGACATCTGAAGAAGCCAACCGCACCATAATCCAAGGCAAACAAACCAACACTTAACTTCCTGTTCTGTAAATCAAAGCTTTAGCAGACGAGCGGCTGGATCCACTGCATCGGAATTCGCCAAAGATCTGGAACCGTTCCGCAAGACAAGGAGGCGAGCAAGAAGAAATCAACTGGTTTACATTAGCTCTTCAAAAAGATATTGGGTATTGGATTCAGTGTAAGTGCACCTTGTGCGCTTACTGAGTCGTCTGCTCACCTTTTTATCTTCCTGTTTTCCCTCATAGATTGTCGCAGCCACCACCAAACTCACACTGCTCTACGCGCCTCCCAAGACAACTTACCTGTCTACAGACTAGACGAAAACCTGTCAGCAATTGGTCATTACTCAGTGAAACTTCAAAAAGGTAACTCTGGCTGCGCTACTTTTCTTGGACAATATGCTGCTTATTTGATTAGAAGGTAGTTATGCCGACATCGACTTCTGTAGTTTTCACAAGTAAAGGTCAGGAAAATGGAGACAGAGAAGAGAAACATGTTTGGTATGCGTGTGGTTAATATTACCTAGTGCTGTTTAGGTCTAGTCTCCTTGATGAGGTGGCTCACAAGGCTGCAGTGACATTGTCACCCTCAAAAACTCTTATCGTTCTTGGAGATGACGAATGCGGTAAAACCACTCTCATTGCGCGCCTGCAAGGTACGGAAGATCCAAAAAAGGATTTGGGCTAGAATACTTTTTATTGGGTATCAAGGATGAAGACAGGGATGGTATGAACTAGTTTATTTAGGAGGTCATTTGTACCATGTAGATCAAACAAACTTAAATGTGTGGATTCTGGATGGTAACCCTATTCATAGCCATCTGTTGAAATTCGCTATCAACGAGGAATCATTCGGAGATTGCTATATTATGATATGTGTGAGTATGGCGAGACCATGGGACATTGTTGACAACCTGAAGAAATGGGCTAGTATTCTGGAAGAACACATCCGTCGTCTAAGCATTCCAGAGGAAAATATTTGTGAATACAAAACTAGTGGTTAGTTTTATGTAATTATTTGGCCTATCTTCTGGTGTAATAAGGTTACTGCCACACTTGAGCTACCAAAGTTGAAAGTATGCAACTTAGCAACCATGTACCCCTCGATGCAATAAACCATGAGTTACACGTGTTATGTAAGAGTCAGCAATACTACCTGACCACTCAATTCTCGACAAGTAAAGTGGATCTGAGCTGATGACGGACTAGTCACCAGTTGGCTGCAAATCCCAGCTAGCATCTGCTTCGTATGTACTGCGGAAGTTCCGAACAAAAATGAGTGTAGTAACTTCTTTACAAAAGTGCCAGGAAGTCTCAGTTTGCACGAGTTCTGAAATGTGTCAAGTTTTTTTTATCTCGACATTACCGTACTTTTTTGCTTAAGAACTTCATTTGGTTGAAGCCGAACTAATTTGCATGCCGAAATAAGTGTTACTATGGCACTTTTCACAAAATGTAAATGGAGACTTGGATGCCGGTCCCGAATTTTTTAAATGCGCCAGAAGTAAGTTTTGGATGGGATCTCAAAGTGTTTTGCGTAAATCCCAGGTTCTCTAGACTTCTAAGTTTAAGGGTATATATACATGGTCCCAGTTTGATGGGGATTCTTACTTGTTCCCACATGTGTTTCAGTGCTTTGGCTGAGGACTTGGAGATTGGTTCGATCTTTGGAGAACGTGAAAAATATAAGGTAACCTCAGAGTACAAGTTCTTAGATTAAGGTCCCCAAGGAAATTCACTCACAGACAACTAATAAAGCTAATAATGTGTAGTTTATGATGCGCATTGCATGGAAAAGCACTTTTTGGTTCGACTCGGTGATTACGTGATTTTATATAGTGAGACCCACTATTATTACTTACATGCCTGTAAAATCACAAACCCGATTGATGGGGTAAGATTTGAGTCTACCACTCACTGATTTAGACTAATAATACAAAACAGTAAGTTTGTCAGTGGATTACCTAAATATCTACTTCTAATAGAGGTGAGGGTCAACCAAATCTAACACGTCAGATGCAACACTAGGTGGAAATAAAACGCCTGGCTTTTATAACTCTTCTTAGTGTCTTTGTGGATGATTCTTTTTGAGTCATATTCGCCTACGCAGGTGGCAACTATCTGGTATCTCAGTTATCATCCAATCTGTTGAAAATCTCAGACTCTGTCCAAAAGACACGCACTTTACGAACTGATTGATTAGTAGCATAAATTATAAACGGAATTATTCCTAATGTACAGAATAGACGAAACGGATAGAGGTAGGAAATTGCTGAATAAAGTGACAGAGGTACTGAGGGGGTGTATAGGAATCAAAGGTAGTGTCCTCGGACTGGTGTGATTCACTGGTCATCCCAGTCTATGAGAACGGAGAGAAGTCTCCCTGTGACAACCATGGGGGAATAAGTTCGACTAATATTGTGTCTAAGATCCTCTGGACCATAGTTGCACGACGTCTCGAGAGAACCAGGAAGGTTTTACACTTGAAAGAGTTCACTGATCAGATTTTTACCCTTCGACTGATTATCCCACTCTTCAAGAAAGGCTAGAAGTCTCATGTGATAAGCACAGAGATCAACGCGATGAACATAGTGTCTAAGATCCTAGGTTCTATAATCATTAGATGCCTGAGTGGAGCTCAGGAACAGCAAGCCCGAGGAAACCAGGCAGGTTTCAGACCTGGCCTTGGGTTTATCGATCAAGTATTCACACTCCGCCAGGTCCTGGAACAATGGAACGCTTACCAACACCCGACACTAGCTATATTTCTCAGCCTGAAGGGGGCGTTCGACTCCGTTGATCGAGAAGTCTTATGGCAGTGTCTGCCTGAAAGGTGTGGCGAGTAAGTACACCTTATTGAAGGTTCTTCACTCGAGCACTTGTGGGCGTGTTAGAGCCTATGGTGAGATACCCGGGGAGTGGTATCCGTCAAGGGTGCCCACTGTCTCCATCCTTTTTCCATTTTTATTATAGGTATTCTCATGGTGGTCTCCCTCTCGCCACCTGATTACACAGACGACCTAGTCGCAGGAGAATTTTCGTTATACCTAGAATATGCAGATGACATAGTCCTGTTAGGTGAAGACGCTGACAAGATGCAGAGTCTTCTGAACACTTTGAGTGGGAATTTGAGAATGTTTGGGATGCGATTTTCACCACCCAAATGCAAATTTTTGCTCCAGGACTGGTCTTCAGTGGTACCGCGGTTAACAATAGAGAGTGAAGTGGTTGAGTGTGTTGACCACTTCACTTACCTGGGAAGTAGGGTTAACCGTGGTTGGTTAGTTGCCGTTGAGATTTCTGCATGGATACAAAAGGCTCAATTTGCTTTTGCCAACTTACGGCATTTGTGGTACCGCCGTGATATCTGATTGTCTATTAAGGACCGAGTGTACTGTGCTGCAGCCCGGTTTGTTCTATTGTATGGCTGTGAAACATGGCTATTGAAGGTGGAAGACATGAGAAGGCTTAAGGTGTTTGACCACCGTTGTCTTCGTAGTATAAGCTGTATTCCGTGATGTCACCAAGTGAGTAACGCAGACATCAGGTGTAGAGTTTTAGGGAGGAGAGGTAAGTCAGTTGACGAGGTTATGAACCTTCATCTACTTAGATGGCTGGTTGGGACACGTATTACGTATGCCTAGCCACCGTCTACCTCATCACACGATGTTGGCTGAGGTGGGTCCAGGCTGGAAAAAGGCCTGAGGTGGCCAGACTGAAACATGGCACCAATGTATGAAGTGTTTGACTGTTGGTTTGAGCCATGTGGGGCGATGCAGACTAGGTGGTTGGGGTCCGCAGGACAAGAGGAACCAGTGGTTGGAGACTGTAGATGATATGGCTAAGGACCTATGTCAGTGACACATATGTGTACACACATTATCCTCATCTTAACTATACTATACCAAAACTCACCATTTTCTCATTCTTCATTTCTCTCTTTCCGTACTTTGTATGTCTTTCGACTGCATTTTCTTATCTTCATCTTGCACCTGACTGCCTTTTTACTTGATGTACTGATATGAGGTGTGGCAACTCAGACCGTTACACAATAATGCCTGGTCCTATGTTGATATTGATGATGGTGATACTTCGACAGGTCCTAGAACACAGGCATACTTACCGTCGGCTGATACTTGCCGTATTTCTTGACTTGAAGGTGTCTTTCGACTCTGTCGATTGTGAGGTGTTATGACTATCTGACTGTGAAGGGAGTACCCCGCAAGTATGTAGCGCTAATCAAAGCTCTCTACTCAAACCCACATAGGTGTGTATAGGCTTATGGAGAAATGTCATGTGAATTGACAACAACCAGTGATATCCGCCAGGGATGCTCACTCTGACATTTCCTATTTAACCTCCGCTTTGGTGTACTAGTGTACATAATCTTAGATACGTTTGAATTCACAGGAATTGACATACCTCCTGGAGGTCAGCTGGTTGACTTAGAGTATGCAGACGATGTTGTCCTGCTAACTGAAAACGCTGACAAAATCCAGGGCCTTCTAAACGCTTTGAGCATAAATCTGAATGTTTGATATGAATTTCGCACCTGTCAAATGTAAGATGATGCTTCATAACTAGTCTGCAACTACTCCCAGTTTATTGATAGGAAGTGAAGTGGAATTTGCTGACTTCACTTACATGGGGAGTTGCATTAACTAGAACAACTTGGTGGCCAGGAAAATTTCAGCTTGAAATTAGAAACCTCTTTTGTCACTTGCCAACTTGCGTCAAGCTGGCGAGATAACCGACTACTTATCTAAGGACGACTAACAGCACTACAGTCCGTTCTTTCCGGCTATATGAATGTGAGACATGACCGTTAAATGTAGAAACCGTGAAGCAGTTACACGTGTTTGATCTCAGGCGCATTCGCAGCATTATGTTTTTTAGAATCACCGTGTGAGCAGTATTGAGGTCAATTAAAGGATACTAGGCAAGAAAAGCGAGTGGATTGATGAGGTTGTGAACCTTCAGCTGCTAAGATGGCTTGGACATGTAGTGATCATACTAAGCAGCCGCCTACCTCAATGTATCCTGCTAGGGGAAGTTGAATTAGGTTAGAAGAGGGCTGTGTGACCAGACCAAGACCTGGTACTAGTCTCTGAAGTCCCTGACTGTTGATCTCAGGTATGTAGGGAGTTGTAGACTGCCTGGTCGGAGTCCACGAGATGAAAGGAACCAGTGGTTGTGGACTCTTGAAGACATGGCTGCAAATCGGTGACGATAGTGCAGATGTATTCATTCTTTGACGTCTTTTAAGGTTTGAATATTTGCACTAACCGTTATCTTCAAATTGCTTTTTGCCTCATGTAACTTTGTCTACTTTGATATCAGTCTTTTCCACCCGCTTGTTCTTTCCATGCTACTGTGAATTGTGACAACTTGAGCCGATGCACTTGTGTGCAAGGTTTTAGGTTGATTTTGTCTGTTGTTGTGTTGGAGCACATGGATACGAAAAGTTCGCCATTTATGACACCACCTTGCTTTCAATTGCTTGTTTTAGGGCAAAGTTCACTCCACTGCAGTCCTCTCTGTCCCATTATAGGGCTGTGAAACATGCCTATCAAAGGCATAAGATGCGAGGCAGTTTCAGGTGTTGGACCATTATTGCCTCCGTAGCATAGACTGTCGGGGTTTCATAACGTGATTAACGTAAGAGTCAGGTGTGGAGTTCTTAGTGAAAGAGGATAGTTAGTGTGTTAGTTTTTGAACCTCTGTCAACTCAGATAACATATGTTACCCATGTCTAGTTGCTGTCTGCCACATCGCACAATGTTAGCTCAAGTAGGTTCAGGCTGGGAAAGGGGTGATGGGTTGCCAGATTGAAAAATGGCATCATTCATAAAGTCTTTGACTAACGGTCGGGGCGTCTAGAAAAATATAGACTTCCTGGATGAAGTCTTCGTGATAACCGAAATAGTTATTTGCAGACTGTAGGTGGTCTGACTCAGAACCGGTATCAGCAGCACCAATGCATCCACACGTTTTGTTCATTTTGTTAGTCGTATGAAGTTTCAGTACTTTCACCCTCCCTTGCTTTCTTTTGACAATCTTACACCACTTTACTGCTTTCTTTTTTCCTTGTTTGTCTGTCATCTTGGTGTATTCTTGCTTGGTGTGTCGAAATCAGTTGTAGTAACCTGGATGGCTACTCAGTAAGCCAGGTCATATGTTGACATTGTCTATCTATGCTCTTTTTATTGAAATTCTTGTCGCAGTTTAACTGGACCATCGGTGCTGACACACACCAAAAAAATGAAGTAGCGGGAGGATTCGGGTCAAGTTCTAACTACGTTGTTTGGTATGAACTTTCCGTCACTGTTACCTTTATCTAGAATTGGCTGTGTCGAGTTTTTCAGAGTGTCCTTTTGCAGGGTGTTGTATGAATTCACAATCAATTTTAATTGAAATTTAACAAATAATTTTTCTTACTCTCTAATGTATATTACCAAGCGAACGAAACTGCTATATTTTCCATTTTTCTATTTCTGACTGCTTAGATGCGAATAACCAGTAATAGCTGTTGCTCCTACCAATATACACGTCTTACAAAGTTAATAAATATACAGTTTTCTTGATTTAGTAGTTGGCAGGGTACATAATTTACTTTTATTTTCGATATAGTCTTTCATCACTTCTGTAATTACCTGGAGCCAGATGTTACTCCCAGTCTATCTACTGTTCACCAATCTGATGCATTACCAGTAGATATGCATAGGAAGTTATACAAAATGCATCCTGCGTCGGCCTTTCTGTTGTCTAATACCCTCGACTCATCAACGCCACCTGCAAAGGATGTTGAACCAGTCAATATCACAGTGAAGTCAAGTCGTGATGGGAATACTTTATGCAATAATTTGGGGGTCCCATTAGTTGTGGTTGTGACAAAGGTAGGTTCGTGCATTTTTGGATTTGCTTTTGTTGCTTTTCTCGGTAGAAAAAATCAGACTAAAGCTGATATATTGGTCTTTCCCATAGATTGCATCATGACATTATTTGGTATTGAATAGTTTCTAAGTTCGTTCGATATCGAGGCATTCATAAAGAACTTGCTCTTTTGATGCAAAATGATTATTTAGCCCTAATTTTAAGCTTCATGCATTTTTAAAGATATAAAAATTCAGCAAGTGACAAGAGGTGAATATCAAATTTAGGTAGCATAACCCTCTGACATTTAAAGCCACGGGCGCTGATTCTGAGTGAGGCACAAATACATTAGAATGATATGTCTCAATTAGGAGGGACACATGTCTCTTGGATTTTGCTACTAATCTCCCACTAAGTGCTATTATAGGTTTCTGCAGCCAAATCTATTTTATATGTGCATTGTAAGTGCATGTTTCACCAATATTTCAGCTGTATTCCGAAAGATATCCTGTCCTAAGAGCTGGTTTTGCTAGTTGGTAATCTTCATTTCACCTAGACAATTAAGAAGATCCGATTTATTAGTGTTACATATTGGTATAAAAATAACAGAATCCTTGCATACTACTGCTTTGGCATAAGTTGCCTGATACGGCAGTCAGAAATTCGTCTAAATACCGAAAAAGTCTGAGTGCACTTGACATTCAGTGATATTTAGATCGCATTTGTTCTTTGATTAATCAGTAAATAACTCTTACTGCATGGAATATCCAATATGTATTTTTATCCTTCGAAGAGTCGCAAGTTATCGGCTAGTCGTTCTGTTCTTTGTTGTCAGCTCAATATATGGGTAGTAATGGTTTTCGTGGGTAATCATCACTTATCCATTTCACTTTAGGGATAAACAGAGGTTCTCAGTATTTGTCATTTTACCTCGCTATTAATCCGCACATTATCTTCACTTTTATCATTGTGTATGATTTCCTGTCAATGATGCCATGGACTAGAGCCTTTTCACCTCACTGTTATCAATAAAAATAATAGTCCATGATGTTTTATTTAGAACTTGTTTTAGTTCCTTACATTCCAACTTGAATCGATTATTGCGTCCGGCATTCATTTTGATTTTCGTAGACTGATACCATGAGCACTTTGGAAAAAGAACATCAGTTAACAGAGGAACATTTTGACTTCATTCAGATGCATGTTCGCCGTTTCTGTTTATCATGTAAGTATTCAAGCATATTGTTACTCGTCGGTAATTACTTATCTTGATATACCAGACTTCATCGGCTCATTGTTAGCTTCGTCCTCAAAGTAGTCTCTATATCTATGTTATTATTTACATATCTTGTCGTTCACTTTTATGATTACATTATATTCTTTGATCGTTTTTTAATAATTGAGTTTTGAAAGCTTGTTTCGGCGTTGATTTTGCTACCGGATAGCACCAAAACACTATCATGTATACATATTCAAAATGTATGAGTCTGTAATGCAGCGCAGGTTTACTGGAAACTTCGAAACCAATTGGTCAGTTGCTCATGACTACTGTCGAACCTCTTCCACCCTTATGTCATTCTCTCTTCAATATTTTACCAACTCACAATATCCCTTAGTTCACAGTACATTTCATTAGTTTCACGTATGCGTTCGTCTGCATGAACTGCTTTTTGTGAGCTGCGGTAAAAATTTTGTTCCGTGACTTTCGTTTTTTTGCTACCACAAAAGTTGGCTTTTTAGTTTGAACAGTCATCTACAATTTCAATTGTATAGTATTGTCAACAAACTTATCAGCAAAATCTGAACATTGTTGGACCATAATTCCCCAATATGTAGAGCCTAGAGAAGCTATCAAAAAGAAGATTCTTTGTTCACTCAAATGCCTTTTGAATTTCAGCAGTATTGGTAGTTTAGTCTATCGATATCCAAACCAATTTGGGATTTGATGGTTTGGAAAGTTCAAACATTGAGTGAATGATATTCGTTTCTTTGGAATTTGGATTTCCCAATGAATCTAAAAAGAAACAAATTGGTTTCAGCTGAGACCAGGGAAAATTACGTTCTATTCCCTATATATTCCTATATAAGCTTGGATATTGTAAACTCAGGTTTACTATAACTTCGATAACGCTATTAGTACTAAATAGCGAAACGTCAGTTGACACCAGTTTGTTTCTTTTTACATTCATTGGGGATTTTTTTTGTCTCTTGGGTTCCTAATGGGACATATGGCTTTCAGTAGCACGTCTCCAGTGCACTCTCTTCTCTGAAATCTTTCGAACCTGGCTCCACGACAGCCCAGAAGCTCTCATTTCCTCCTCACACGATCTCCTCCATGTCACCCTCAGACGCCCAACTCGTCGCTTCCCATCTGGGTTCCACTCGAGCAACTGGCCTGGTGCGTGATGTCTCAAAATGGTCTTCTCAGTCCATGCTCAATCCATCTCCACTTCTTTCTGAATATTTGTTCAGCGATAGTTTCTTGGTTGGTTCGTTGTCAGCCAGCCAGCCAGCAGTTCCTTGTTGCTTATTATTTCTGGCCATCTGATCTTCAGTAACGAGCCAGCGTAGACAGTTGTTGATGAATGTCTGTAGTTTGTTGAAAATCCCTTTCGTAACGCGCCAAGTCTCTGAACCATACAGAAGCACTGACTTGACACTGGTGTTGAAAATCCGGATCTTGTTCACGCTTTATGCTGAGTGCAGAAGATCTCCACACTGGTTTCAGGCTAATGAACGCCTGTCTTGCTGATTTTCCGATTCTGACTTTGACATCCTTGTCTGTGCCGCCTGTAGTTGAAACAGTGCTTCCTAGATAGGTGAAGGAGGTTACTTCCTTTAAGTTTCTCCCGTTGATGGTGATTGGAATTTGTTCTTGTTGGAGTTGTTGGTGCGGTATCTTCATCACTTCTGTCTTCTCTATATTCACCTGAAGTCCCGTCTTCGCTGCCCTGCCTCTTCTGTCAACTTGTTACTTTTCGCCTGTAGATCTTCAAGTTTGTGTGACATCAGGCACAAGTCATCGGCGAAATCCAAGTCTTCTAGGTTCTTTTCCGCAGTCCAGCCAGTGTATGCCCCTCTCCTCACAGCTCCCCTCTGTTTGCTGCATGGTCCAGTCCACTACAATCAGGAATATCATGGGTGATAGTAGGCGGCAGCCTTGTTTTACTCCTGTCTTCACTTCAAAGGTGTCACTGAGCTTCCCATTGTGAATTACTTGGCATGTGGTGTCTTCATATAGTTGTTGAATGAGGCTGATAAAGGTTTGCGGTATTCCGTAGTATTGAAGCAACTGCCTGCCAAATTACCTTCTCGGTCGACGCTGTCAAAGGCCTTCTCAAAGTGGATGAAGTTGAGGTAGAGATGAATTGACTGCCATTCTATGCTCTGTTCACTGATGATGATGCGATGCGTTGCAATTTGGTCTGCACATGATTTGTACTTCCTGAGTCCAGCCGGCCTGTTCGGGTTGTAGTTTTGAATCCAGCGCATCCTTTAGTCTCTCCAGGATGATTCGGCTTGATATTTTGCTTGCTTTGGGTGGACAGGGACAGGAGCATGATTCTGCGCCAGTTCTTGCAAAGACTTAAGTGGCCCTTCTTCAGGAGTTTGACAAGATAACCCTCCTTCCAATCAACCGGCAGGTACCTTCCCTTCCTTCCATACCTTCTGCAATAGAGGTGTGAGCATGTCCTGCTTTATGTCTCAGTGTCTGTTCTTCAGTGCTTCTGGCGTTATTCCATCTTGTCCTGCTGCTTTTCTGCATTTCAGTAGCTTTATGGTGCTCAGGACTTCGACTTTTGTCGGAGGATTTGTGTTCACTTGTAGTTCTGTGGCTAGGCTACTGGTGATATTTCTGGACGAAGTGCAGGTGGTGGTCGATTTAAGAGCTTTTGGAAGTGATCAGCCCATCGTTTTCTTTGTTTCTCTTCTTTGGTAATTAAATTTCCTTCATCATCTTTTATTGGTTTCATCTGTGTTGATCTCTTCCCAGATAGTGACCTGGTTACTTTGTACAATGTTGTCAGGTCTCTCCTACCTGCAGCCTGTTCTGCTTCACTTGCCAGTGTGTCGTGGAAGTGTCTTTTGTCTTTGCACGCACTCTTCTTCACTTCTTTGTCCAGTGTTTTGTAGGTTGTGTTCAGTTCTCCTTTTCATCGTTCATCCCTGCACTGCACTGCACTGCACTAGTTCATCTTCTGCTTCACCATCCTCCTCTCCTGCGTATAGAAGGATGTAGTACAGCTACAACAACAAGACCATTGTGATTAAAGCTCGTCAATGAGAGCACCCATGACCGCTTTCAGTGGAAAACTGGCTAGGTAGTTATTGGAATGAAACAGTTTCACTCGTCCACAAGGAACTTGTTGCAGTTTTCTGTCTGCTGGTGAAACAGCGATAAAAACTGTAGCCGACTCCGAAAGGACAGCTAAAAAGAGCCAGTGGATATCAGCAGCTTCTTCTGAATTAAAAGCTGCACGCAAACGCATCCTGAAGGTTCTGAGTACAATGAGGAGCGCAAGCAACTCAAGTGTAGACTGACAAATAGTCTACGCAGTAGCTGCGAACAATGGTGGTCAGCGAAGGATAAAGATATGGAAAATGCAGCGGTGATAGTAAACACTAAACAAATATTCAGATTGATTTAGGAAACTAGGATGAAAAGGTGAACGGTTAGTGTTACTATAGCGGAGAAGGATGGGTCTACGACCCACTTGTAAAAGAAATGATTGGAACGATGGGCGAGACATTTCCACGAATAGTTCAACTGGCCTCCAGCTACTATTGCGTTGCTCGCCTATTTAGTAGGATTCTGAACGGAACATTGAGGTAGATGCCCCAACACTTGCAGAAGTCGAGAAAGTGGTAAATAACTTGAAACAAGGAAGGGCAGCAGGATCAGACGAACTAATCTCTAAGATGTATAAGGACAGTGGTAGAGTGTTTTTAGTCAAGTTAACTAACGTGTTAACTAGTGTATGAGAGTCAGATATGATCCCCTCTGACTGGTCTAAATCACTGATTATCCCACTCTTCAAGAAAGGCTAGAAGTCTCATGTGATAAGCACAGAGATCAACGCGATGAACATAGTGTCTAAGATCCTAGGTTCTATAATCATTAGATGCCTGAGTGGAGCTCAGGAACAGCAAGCCCGAGGAAACCAGGCAGGTTCAGACCTGGCCTTGGGTTTATCGATCAAGTATTCACACTCCGCCAGGTCCTGGAACAATGGAACGCTTACCAACACCCGCCCGACCGATAGCTGCTACCTTGACGTGGTGGTCGGGCTTGCATATCACAATGACCCAACGAGCTATGCTGGTGGAACGCTTGTTCCCTCGAGGTCCTACCATACCAGAAAGGTCTGTTGGGTAGACGAAAAGCAGTTACCGTTGTGGTGTAAATTGCTACACTATGATGGGGGTCTGAGGGCGAAGTCGTACTGCTGCTAGCTGGATGGGGTGTGACAGCAGTAAGGTGTTTCCCTTGGATGACCAGCAGTGCCATGCTGATGCTGCCTTCTCAGTGGAAGGGGGGGTTAGAAAAGGTCGGCCCCAAAAATAACACACTCCACCACGCCCCACGGTCTGCCGGGCCGGCGGTGTTGGTTCACTTGTCGTTTCCTTTCGACCATCCGGCCCCAAAAATACAAAAGTTCAAAATAATCATACTCAAAAGGCTGGGTGTGACAGGCCTCAAGCAGATGTCCGATGGGCTCTGCGGTCACACAAATCTCTTTCAGGTACCTTAAGAAGAAATAGCCTTCCACGGTGTGGGCAGCCGGGAAGTGTCAACCGCCCTCACAACTCTGTCAGCACCCAAGTTTCTTCTGACTGCTATCCTCCTCCTCCATCATTACCTTCTAATCTTCCTTCACGTCTCTTAATTAATGATGCTGCATCATCTTCAATTTCTCCTACCTCTGCAGCCTTCGACAACGATCTGAGTCCACAGAACAGCATCACTGGTCTCCTTAAACCACGCTCCAAATTACATATTGGAGCCTTCAATGTCCGCACCCTCCGTCAAATTGGCCAACAGGCTTCGTTGGCAAAGACTCTAGCAACTCGGGCCATGGATGTGTGCTGTGTTTGTGAGACACGCATACAGGACCCAAGTGTGGTTATTCACCTGACCTCTCCTGACCAATCTGGTGAATCTGCAAAATTCACCCTTCGAGTTTCTGGAGATTCGATAGCTAGCTCTCGTGGTCTTGCAGGTGTAGGTATAGCATTAAGCACCAGGGCAGAAAACTCACTACTAGACTGGATCCCAGTTGATAGTCGCCTCTGCGCTATGAGGCTGAACGGCACAGTGAGAACTAAAAGGAATAGTGAGACTCGCCGTTGTCTCTTTGTAATCTCTGCTTACGCACCCACTGACTGTAGCTCGGATGAAGTGAAGGACGAGTTCTACCATAAACTGTCTAACCTCCTCTCGAAAGCCAAACGTTCGGACGTAGTGGTTGTTGCAGGTGACCTCAACGCACAGGTGGGTAGACTGAGTGAGGCAGAAAGGCACTTAGGTGGCACTTTCGGAATCCCAGCTGAACGTACAGATAACGGTGATCGCCTATTACAACTATGCTCAGATAACCGCCTATTTTTAGCCAGCACAAATTTCAGACATAAAGAAAGGCACTGTCTGACCTGGCGTCCACCGAGCTCGACTCAGCGATGGACACAGATAGACCACATTGCTATTAGTCATCGCTGGAGAGGATCGGTGGAAGACTGCCGCTCCTTCTGGAGTACGTGTTTGGACAGCGATCATGCGTTGGTCCGAGCACGTATATGCCTGCGTCTCAATGGACGTAGAAAAAATTTGGCAACAAAACCACTACGAGTTCTGCTGGACAACGAAAACACCAAAGCCGTGTTCAGTGAGAAGTTGGCTAGGCAGTTATCGGAACAAAAGACTGTCACTCATCCAGAAGAAGCTTGGTGCCATCTTCAGTCTACTGTAAAAGCAGCACTGGAGACTGTAGCCGACTCCAAGATAATGGCTAAAAAGAGCCAGTGGATATCAGCAGCTTCTTCCAAACTAATGGATGCACGTGAATGCATCCCTGCAGGCTCTGAGTACAATGAAGAGCGAGCGCAACTTAAAAATAAACTGACGAAAAGTCTGCGCAACGATCGTGAACAGTGGTGGGCAGCAAAGGCTAAAGAGATGGAAAAGGCAGCGGCGATCGGTAACAGTAGACAGTTATTTAGACTTATTAAGGAGACTGGGGGGAAATGGTCAACAACAGTTAGTGAGGTTATAGCGGAGAAGGACGGATCGGCGATTCACTCGCAGGGAAGGCGACTGGGACGATGGGCAGAACACTTTGAGGAACAGTTTAACTGGCCTCCAGCCACCATTGCGCTGCCCGCTATCCAGTCGGACCCTGAATGGGACATAGAGACAGGTCCCCCAACACTAGAAGAAGTTGAGAAAGCGGTAGGTAGCCTGAAACGGGGAAGGGCAGCAGGACCAGACGGACTACCTGCTGAGGTATACAAGAATGGTGGTAGAGTTCTCTTAGTCAGGTTAACGGAAGTGTTAGC